TGTTGTTGTTCACTTGACAATGTTGGGGTAGCTCAGGACTGTTCAAAGGCTATTTTGGGACGAAACGGTTATTCAGGGGTAAATTGAATACTCAAAGTTAAAAACGTTAAGAGTTTTGTAAGATGGTAGCATGATGTGAATAAAGGAATATAAGAATAAATATATAATATATATATATAATATATATGAATATAAACAAAAGTGGTTTCTATTAAAATATTCTATAGCCGTTACTGTCCAATTACAAGTAGTGCTTTTATCTAATCTTTAAAATTATATATATGTTTTCAAGTATTTAAATAAAATTTGTTGTTGTTTTTCATTATTTTACTAACTTTTAGATTATTTATTAAATTTATTAAGTCATTATTATTTTTATAACATTTAAAAAAATTTACTTTTGTGATCTTTCACAGATAAAAAATTTATTATTATATTAATAAAAAGAAGGATCTTAGAAGCCTTTAAAGATGATGGCCATAATTCAATAAAAATCGGAATAGAATTATAAAATAAAATTTGACATTTATTAAAATACCAAGTAAAAGAACAGATTAGTCTAAACAAGAAGTTAATAAAAAAATGTTTTCACTGCCATTATAGGTGTCCATAGTTGTGAGTAATAGTTCACTCTAGTTTACTCAGAACAATAAAAAAACTAGCAAGTAACTTACCTTGAATTTTTTATTTTCCATAAAGAATGGAAGAAAATCAGATAAAAGAATATATTCTCCAGCAGTTTTAGCCCTGCTCTTGCAAAAGCTTGACAAAAAGAGAGAAAAAGCTTCGATTTGTCCACATCATCTAGCCATGTAACGGATTGACATGTCGAAGCTGTGATAACTTCAATCGTAGCCATATCTTGTCAGCCCGTGCTATACCATCTAAAGATCCCAAGCAGCACTTTCAGATTCTTTCTCTCTAACATAGTTGTAAGAGAAATCTTTATAATTTCCTATTAAGTCACTTCATAAAGTATATCGTCACTTTTTACAAGTACGGTTTAGATCATCTCTTATAAGCAGAGCTTACAAAGTCATTGACCCAATAAATGACACTTTCAGAATTGATACCCCACATTGATTCTAAGCCCAAAGAAGCCTTACCAAAATGTTACTTGACCATGCAATCAGTCAATTCTTTCCCTACGACATTGGAGTGACCCGGATATAGTTTCTTTTATTTTGAAACACTATTTAAGTTCGTACTCCGATCATCTCTGAAGAGCTAACGGGGCTAACAAGAATTTTAAGTGCAAGTTAACTGTCACAGTAAATGCCAATGCATTCCCTCGTTTTTTTATCTCGGTAGTCCAGTTAGCCACACTTAATTGACAAAAAATTCTGTTAATAAGATGGTCGTCATACATCAAAAACAAAAATATTTAATTTCATTGTCCAAGTACCTTTTAGACGCAGTACCAATAGAGATTATTGAGTCCTATGTGTAAAAGATATGACACATATTTTCATGATGTTTTTTTTTCAATATATCAAAAAGTAAAAAATCGAAAAAAAAATCAACGTAACATATTTTGTGAAAAGATTGATTGCTTTAATTTGACGATATCTTTCATGTCTCAGTTTTTCTTCATTTCTCGGATATATAAAAAAGTTAAAATTCTTAAAAAATAAGCACCGACTGAAACAATATACTCCATTTAATCTTCATATTATCTTTTTTTTAAATACGCTTTACAACTATAAAGCACAATTGGATGTATTATTGTTTTATATATACTTCATTATACCTCATTTTTTCATCGACTTGAACTAATACTGAACTAGTCTCGGGTTGCAATTTTTTAACACTATATCTGTTAAGTCTAGGGGTATAAGTTTTAAAGGAACTCATAAAGGAATGAAATATGTTCCGGGGTTTATTAGAAGGACAAAAAGTTTATGGATCTTTATGGGGATCTACACGGCATTTAAGAATTTTGATTTTTAGTTTAAAAACTCTGTAAATAAAATATTGTAAAATATTTATATTTATTATGTATAAATAAAAAATATATTATAACAGATACAGACAATGGGCAGATATCTCATATGAGCAGATATCTCATATACATTACCACCTTCTGTCAATTTCGATTTTTCTCTGATGAAACAGGTGCCAATCTTACGTTGACTAAATATTATATTTGGGAAGAATATTTTGGACTATAATTTGAGAAAAATATTAAATAATCTTAAAGAAGACCGTATTTAGCAGAAATAAAACGATCATTGAAATAAGCAGAATTTAACTATAAAAATTGTTTGGCTAGGAATACCGTAATATTACGGTCTCTGTTACTAGAAAAAGTCTTAAATTGAAATCGTGTTGTGCTATAAAAAAAGTTGATTTGCTATAAACAAAAGCTAGTGTAAGTTTCCGTGCTATCTTAAAGCACAGAATAATAAAATTATATTATTTGTCTGTGCTTAAAGTTTGCATAAAACGTAAGCTTTTGCTAATTAATGATTTTATTCCATTAAATACAAATTTTATTGGGTTGAGTCGTAAATTACGTTTTCAGAAGAAATAATCAACGATAATGATAACCCATGTTGGTATGTCAAGCAATAACGCTTATTTAGTCGCTCTAATTTAATAATTTCAATAAATTAATTTTTTATTAATTATCAATTTATTTTTAATAAATAAATAAATACAAATTTATTTGTTTTATATTATAAACACTATAAACTTATATGTTTGTTTTAAACAGATGGATATGTTCGTACGAAAAAAAGAGATATAGTATAATATTTTTTTTTTACTAATGATTCTTAGTCTTTAATGTCGACTTGGCTAAAGTTACGTATGGAAAATAATTATTAATAAAAAGAACCCTGAGTTTATCTGTAATATGTTTTAAATATTCATACCGGATGTCACTCTTAAATAATATTAAATAATATTAATAATGAATTGTTCAGTAGTTAAACTATTGTTTCTAAGGAATTAAAATCTGATTATGAACTTATCCCAATATAAGGTATAAGAACAAAGTCATTGAACTGTCAAGAATAAATTTCAAAATTATGAAAAAATAATTATTAATTATTACTGCTTCAAAGAGTATTTACGTCTTACTAAACTTCTAAAAATAGAAGCATTATGAATAGTATATCAATCCGAAAAAAAACTGCAGTTTCTTTTGAATTAGATCATAACCATATTTAGTCTTAATGAGAACTGATCTAACAGTTTAAACAATCCTTAAAAATTTAGGATTTCCAAAAATATTGTAGATCAATCTATACTTTTAAAAATTCATATCCCAAAAAATGATTCAGAGTTTTTTTTTTCCAGAAGATCATAACCACTGTATATAGATCATAATTATTTTGGAACTAAGTGGAAAACTGGAAAACTATAAACTGATGTAATAAATCACAATATGCTTTAAAATGTTACATCCCAAAAAATTTTTCAGATTATTCTTTTCTAAAAAGCATAACTTTATATAATTTCAACGAAGATTAAAGTTCCAAAACACATTTCGTTTTAAAATTCTTTCTTTTTTTCCGCGAGTATACGTCTATGGATACCAAGTATTTAATTCTCCAACAATATTTAGCGTCTTATATGGGCTTGAATATACTTACAACATACGTGTTATATCTTCCTATGTCAAACGAAGAAATAAGACTCGGTAAAATGGGTTTAATGCCAAGACTTATCAAGGAAATTGGCTTAAAATAATTATTCTGAATCGGGGAATAAACTGTAGATTATAGTGCAAAATCTTTGAACTTTATAATAAAAATTTTATCATAGTTTATCATATAGAATTTATCATAGTTTATATATGGTTACAAACTATAAAAATTTTATTATATTGTGTAACGGAAATTTCTCAAGAAATATGATCTGTTTACCTTATAACTCTTAATTGTCTGTGGCCTGATGTCGAATATTTTTCCAAAGTCACAAACTCTGCCAGGTCTGTAGAGAGTAACACTTAAGAAAGGAGATTTGGTAAGGATTATTCATCGTACTTAGTTACGGTACGCAAAACTGATTGAAGTGAAAGTATTGCTTGCAGATCTTGTTGTACTTTTACTTGGAAAGGACAGTCAATAACTGAAAGTAACAAAAATTGGCTGAATACAGCTGACAGGGGCATTCGATTTAAAACATATAAAGGTTGTCTTTTACACCAGTTTTTACCAATAATTTATATATCAACATAAAGATGTGCAATTTTAGAATTCTCATGATAATATATCTTTCAAATTTGTCAACTTCCTTGAAACCTTAAACTTTCACCTTAAACTTTCTCTCTATATGTTTTAACTAGAATAGTTATGGTTTACTTAATGATTGGTTGGAAAAAAAGTTTCTCCAGATTGTTTGTACAAAGGCCATGTTTAGTCTTTGATATGTATACAATTATTAGCAGACTTGCTATTGTGTATATGTGCTTTATTAATAAGCTCAATTTTAGCGTAGTGCTGACTCACATAACAGCATGCTTTAATGCCCATATAATTTTTATAAAAGAAAATTGTGCATTAGTGCACTAAAAATATATATAAATGAGCATCAAGCATTATCTAATATCGAAGCTCTCTTATCTTCGATAAGTGTATTGCAGTGTCACATATAGATAAGAGAAAGGCAGGCAATTAAAGGCAATTACAATAATATTACAAAATATTTATTTATGGATAACATGGACGTACCAAAATATAATATCTAAGGTACAAAATATAAAGTACTGCTAGAAGATGCATTAAACTCCTATCCTCCTTTAAAACTCAAAGGTACGAACTTCATAAGTAGCGTCTGTCTTTTTACAGTTCTTAGTATGTTAACTGAACATAAACAAAAATAATAAATAAAGCATTTATTATTTTTGCTGAACATAAAGAAAGGGAATTACCTGTATTCGGCTGCTATAATATTGTAAAAGCTTAAAGCTTTAAATCTAAAGCTTTTTGTTACTATCAACATTGACGGCTGAGTGACATTTTGCATGCGATCAGTAGTTCGAAAACGTTTGAGGCGTTAGGAGGTGTTGGTTTTTAGCGGATTTCGGGAAGATTGTATTTATTTTTTGTTTACATTTGTGAAATTAAAATGAGTAACGCAAGACATAATGTATTTATATTCAATTATATTAAAAATAATCAAAACGATATAAATTATCTTACAAGAACGTTTACAAAGTACAATTGTTTTGTTAAGGAGCATAAAAATTTAACATATGCAGAATTCAAAGCCGCCGCTGATGAGAGTAAGTAAAAAAAATAATATTAATAAAAGTCAGACTTCTCATACTTTTTTATTTTTAAATTTGATAACGTTTTTCCCAAGAATCCACACAAAAATTATTAAAAGCTTATTTCTGAGAAACTACTTAGAGTTAAATTTAATGTTAATGTTAGAAAGAGAACTATATAATACTTGAATAAAAAATGTATCATTTAGGTTCACGAAGAAGAGAGCTGCAAACAGAAAGGGTAGCCCCCATACATACATAGGCACCTAAAAAAAATTTATTTAAGAGGATGTAAGTATTTTTTACTTACTTCTATACAATCCTTAAATCGTTTTAGGTTGAAAGTCCCTGAAAGCGACTTCGATTTTCATAGCCCTGATAGATTATACCGGTATAACTTGATCATATCAGATTAGGGAGCCATACTAGCAAGTTTGCAGTTGTCGAAAGGAAGATGAAAATGCCTCTTATCTGCTTTGTGCTTGCCCCGCAGATGCTAGATTCCCCCTTATTATTCCAGAGCTTCCTTTTTTAAAAATCTTGACCAACCGCAAGACTTCCCATTAATTGCCATTTAAAGCTTTGTCAAAGTTTCCAAGTGATTTTAAACCTATGAGTTTTCGCTTATACAGTAACACGATGAGTTTAAGTGGATCCATTTAGATCGGTGGTATAGGTCTCCTTTTATCTGCATTTCTTTCTGAATGGATAAAAAGAAATTACCTCGTCCTAAACTTTGGAATTGTTCTAATACTATAAATATTAAGCCTGCCCCTTTGTAGGTAACTTGATAGTGAATAAACATATATATATGTCCTTTCGCATACTCATACTAAAGTTTATTTTTATTTAAATGTTAATTAATTCTCACTTCTAAATTTCAGTTGCAACGGCAAATTTTACTCTATTTAAGTACATTGTCATCATTGTGTTGGATAATCAAAACCCTTACAAACATCTCATCAAAACGTCAGATAATAAAACAGTCTATATAAATCAACAGCTATTAACGCATATACAACAAAATAAAACGCTACTAAGAAAACAACGTCTGTTTCTGATACAAACAAATCAAAACGTTATCGAGAAGTACAAACATTATATACCATCAGAGAATGAAAGTACTTCAAAAATTCTCTATGTAGGCCAAACCATTACTTTATTCGCACTCGAACCAGAAGAACGCCTTACTAACTATTGGAAAACACCAAATGCGCCTGTTAGTCCATTCATAAAGGCTTTCTGTGACAACTTTGATAAATATGCTGACAACCTAAGAATCAACAAAATCTATGACAGAATCCATCACGACATGAGTAACACTGAGTAAGTGTACTTAATTTTAAAAATATAATAAAATATCACTTCTTTCTCTCTTTCTCTCTTAAACCCACAGGCATACTCCCATTTTTGATTCAAACCTCAATTCAAATGACGATGGTATTTACGGTTATGCTCTTGAAGACCACATAAAACGTGACTTCTTCTACAATAACTAAACTATATACAGTATTTTAAATATATTTTTGTTTTTAAAAAATAAATTTGAACTCACAGAACAATAACAGTTTATTAATACATTTTCACTAATTTTAATTAGAAATAAATTTCAGGTTGTTAAATTTAGGGATTTGACTTTCTCAGTTATATATTTCAGTATTAAGCCATTTTAACATATTGTCCCTGAGACATTCATTGGTTTTATTTAGACAGATCATGTCTTTGATGCTTTTTTCACAGTTCAAGCGGATATATCGTTTCATACAAGGCATATCTCCCAATAGACGAATAATCTGGAAGAAAATTAGTATTATGTATTAAATATCTATGTTTTAATATATAAATATATTTTTGTTTATCTCTATATAATATTTTTAAAATTTTTGAATCTCTTCTAGGAAATATACATTTCAGTGATACCTACATCTCAATCGCTTAAATTTGAAAATTGATATTTTCATAAATAATTGAATATGGAGATTATGGGAGCTAGGTTGCTTATACGAAAGCAGTCGGATTTACTTTCATAATTTTAGGTTTTAAAATTTTTATCGAAATAAATTCTCCTCTATAGCTTTCTGTCTAATGTTATCTTTCATCTGTTTCTGATTCCTCTTAAGTTGAATAAAAAATGTTTAATAAAATTAATTTAATGTGTTGGAAGAAACAATCGCTAATCATATTAATTATAGAATATTATGGTTATTTTAATAAAAACAATTAGTTCCTAAAACAAAGTTAGCAATTGGCAACCCTAACAACTAGCAAACCCATAAAGATAGAAAAGCAGGAATAGTGTCAAACGCACGATACAATCACGTATTACAATAGCTTATCCCTCAAACTGCAGTCCGATTTTGTGGATTACTTATCCGACGATTTCAGCTTAATGCTGTTTTGGTTATAATAATCAATGAAGATATATATGGCAGATAACATGAAAGGAATGGCAATATGAAATTATGGGTTAGGAAAAGTTGAGTAAAAGAAATGTGAAAGAGAGGGTTATTTTTTGAGAAGAAGAGTGGATTAAGGAAGAGTAAGACTTTAATTGTAGTCAACTTCGGTCAAAGAACAATTGGACTCAAATGGATATATGTATGTAGAACTGCAGTTCATGAGGTTTTTGAGGCCCTATGCTCCACTAGGAGAGAAGGACATGAGTAACTAAGTAAGTATGAGCAGCAGTTATGGCACACTTTGGAAATTAAGAAGTGCACTTTCTTAAATTCGTTTTTGCCATATCTAACATATACAACCAGCTTCTGCAGAGTAATCGTGCGTTTGGTACAAAAGCTAGTGACAGCTGTAGCTAGAAATATTAAATATTTAATTTAAATATAAAAAATGAACTACTACTACACATTATTGAGCAACAGTTGCCGGCTACTGTAGCCAAAGTAGCCAGAGTACAGTGAGTATCAACGATTATTGGTGCCAGCAATTACAGCTTTCTTGTGCCTTAGGACACAATGCGTGACTCGTGACTCAGTTATAGAAGATTTTTAGAATAATGGAAGAATTAACTACAAATAAGTTCGAATTTATAGCTTTGAGATCATTTATATGGATGCTCTTTGTATGGTATATTATTCTTATTAACAGCCTTAATAAGCAATACTACCTATATTACATATATATATATATTATATATTACATCATATTATATATATATATTATACTATATATATATATATCATGTATTATATCATATTATATATATTATATATATATATATTATATTACATTGATATTAGGACACAATACAATAATATATAATACATTGATCTACTATATGTACTATATCTACTATCTTCTATAATATATATTAAACTATAATATCCAATATAATATCTATAATATACTATGAACTATATCCTTAATAAATTTTTTGTGTTGCAAGCTGGAAGCATTATTATCATCATTATTAAAGGGATATAATACCTTGACCTGTAGATCTGTTATGCCTACTTCAATGGAAACATTAATTTTATTCTAAAAGATTTAAGATTTAAAAAATAATAAATAATAAATAATTACCCGCAAACAGTAAAGTTGCAAACGTTCATTGCAGGTATCCTTTGCACGTTCAGTTAAAATAGATGGTAAGTCTGTGAATTCCCGAACCCGCCACATAGCACGTTTGCTTAATAAACCATTCATCAGACACATAACACTATATTCGGAATGAGGTAATTTTTCATATTTGATCAAATTATATACCATTTTTATTCCATCGTGTTCATCAAATAGCCGTTGACCTTCCCCGCAACGCAATAATAGGGCAAAACATTTCACATCCTGACGATGGAAGTGAGCATGTTGCGCCAAGACCCGTTCATATAGTAAATCAAAGAAACCATTTTCCAATGCTTTCTCTGGAATAATTTCAAGAAAATGCGATAGATGCATCCACAATGCACTAGGATACCAATTTTTGCAACGATCGTTAAGAAAAATTTTTGTTACCTTATCAAAAACATCAGTCTCCGCTAACACATACAGAAGCACTAAAATGGATTAAAGATTTTTTTTATTGATGACATTAAAAAATTTAAATATAAATTTTTATGTTACCAACGGCTTTTTCTGTGATGTTTCGCACAATGCTTGCCACTAAATTGAAGTTGGGCTCCTCATTTAATAGTATATCATAGATTTCATTTAATAGCATAGGTCGTCTGACTAGAAATCCAGCACCTGCTATGTAGCGTGTGAGAACTTCTATAAAGATTGATTAATTATTTAATTATATTAAATAAACTTTATTATTTTAGTTATAGAACTTAAAGATACAAGACTGTTAGAAATACCAGTGATCAAAAAACAAGATGATATTTTTCATATCATATACCTTTGCTGACTTTTCAAGTCCAGCAATTTTTTTTTCTGGTCAGTAGTACCGTCACTGACATCTATATCAGATTTTATGTCAATATCTACATTTGTTCAATAGTTAAGCATGTGGTTTGTGAACACCCAAAGTTAATTCAGCGATCCTGACAGTATCTGATTTTCTTGTAGAAAAATTCCACATCAACTTTTGTTCGTGTAATAAAATTTTTGTTGGAGAAACTTTAAAAATGTTGTAGAAGGACTTCGGGGACTAGGCTGTATCACAAAAAATATGTTACAATTGGCAGACACAATTCAAAAAAGGTAAAAATCCACAAGCAATTGTCCATCCAGGTTGCCATAATAAGAGACAGGCTGGTACTGATAGTATTTCATTTAAATTAATCCAGAGCATTTTGAAAGATGTTTTGTGTCTGAAAACTGTGAAATCTCGTTTGGTTCCAAGACACGATTAAATGCACATTAAATGGAGAAGACACTTGGATCTATACATATGTTCTGGAACCAATCAAGTTAATACCGTGCCTAAGGTGAACCAAATATATCACCTTATTTCGATATTTTACCTTATTTTTTGATCACAGTATTATGCAAAAAAATTTTAAATTATGAAATACAGATACAACGATATACACCTAAGGACACCAAAATCTTTGTTTCAATTCTCTTTGCATATTCATGATCTGATCTTCTGACACGATTTAAAGCATTTTGCAATCTATATGTTTCATACACAATATATAATAAGTTATAAAATTAAGATAATGATATAATATACCAGGATATAGCTACCTGCGCATTATATCCATTTCATGAATGGCTGTTTCGGCATTTATTGGATTCAACACAAATTCAGAAAATGAGTTCGTGGCTTGCCAACGTATCTTCAAGTCGTCGTGATTCATCTCAACCAAAAGTTTTGGTAGAGCAAACCAACCATAGGCCAATTGTGTCCGATCATCGAAATAGTTCGAGTTGCGACAGTCAGTTTTTGGGTACTCGCACCATGGTTTCTTCTTAGTGGAGACTAACTCGCGTTTTCTTCGTATTGTGGTAAATTCTTAAAATATAAATTAATATACAAAAAAAAACCACTCAAACTTTTCTCTTGATAAAAAATGTAAAATATAAAAAAGGTAAACCGAAACCCTGAATCCTACCATTGTGGACCAATTCATTAATGGTGCCAGCGGTGATATTTAAATCGTCGTGCTGAATGAAATGATTTTTGTATCGTTCCAATTGGTCCCACATAATTTCAAATAATTAATTTTTTGCGGAGAAACTAAAATTTTATTCGCACGAAATATATATATACTTAACTATATATAAATTATTTTATATATATGTTTATAAAAAGAGAATTTATTTTAAACAAAATGACAATAAAATCAAACAATAGGTTTTTTTTACATACCTATATGCTAATCGACGGTGGTATGAAGGATGAATGAGGGATCGAGAAATAAGGGACTGAAATATATTTGATATATTCATATAAGTTTTGCAGAAAGTTGTTAGAGAAAAATCGAGATGTTTTAGAAAGTGGTTAATAAATGAATAAAGGAGAGAAAAAACAAGGTGAAAAAAGTAAATTAATACTTTTACGAAACTAATAATCGCGATGAATATCCTATACATATAGATCTTAAAAGAAATTATATATATGCTAGTAAGTTTTAGATTTTTAATTCACATCGTATCAATATGACGCCTCTGTGCTACTTGAACAGCACTATTATATATCCAACAACCTTTCAATTTTTTTTTGTCAGCATTAATTATTTCATCTGAATTATATCGTAACTACTGGAATTAAATCGACCGTTTGAAAAAAATTTATTGATACTCGTAGTTATCTAACAGACATATATAATTCCATTGCATTGCTCATCTCTTTGCTTTCTAACTTAATGAATGTTGCTTGCTAAATGTTTAGGCTATTGAACTCTGTAGTCTGACCTTAACTGGAATAGATTAAAATATATAACTCTTTTGGATGATTTCGGATAACTTTAATTATTTAAAAACAGTCATGAAACATTTATAATAAACATACATATATATAAAATCCTTTGATTTATTTTAAGAGTTAAAATAGACCTTAAGTGCCTCTGATATTAAAATACAGTATTAGGATTTAATCTTAATATCAAATGTCAACATTTTTACATAAATGTTTTTCTAAATTTTTTCATTTTATTTTATTCCAAGTTGATTTACAATCGAAATTAATAATAAATAAATCGAAATAACATCTGATATTAAAATATTATGCTAATCATGTGAATACAGTATTAAACTGTTAAAGTATTCATCTGTCTTAATTATATATGCATTTCATATATGTTTTTAATATAAAAAACTGAATTGACAATATATATTTTAAGTGTACCATAACATATCACATTTTTTGAATTATTGTGTGTATTATTTGTGTAATACACATTACTATTTATTTTTGAACGATCTGGCTACGCTGTCGGCAATCTTTAAAAATTCCTTCATCCGCAACCAACAGCAGCAAACAGAAGTTAGTGCGTTTTGTGACTTCGTCTTGGGTTGTCGTTGCTGTCTTTTTCACGGTTGCGCCGCTGTATTTGTTTTTGTTTAAATTAAAAAATAAATAAAAGAAAGCAAACCGACTTGTTTATTAAATTACTATATTTTTGTACAAACAAAAAAAAATTGAAATATTTTTATACGTATGACAAAATTTTTTAAATCAAGTAGCTTTTTTAAACAAATTAAACAAAAAATATCACGAATTAAAAGATGTAAACAAACAAATGAAAACATAGCATGGTTTTTAAAAATTTAGCATAAAAGTAAACAAAGAAATCGGTATTAACAAATGTTAAATTGTTAACACACTGCCAAAGGAATATTCGTCAAAAAGGAAAAATTTTCAAATAGAAGAAAACGAAAACTACCATTTCTGTAAGAAATTTTATGGATTTCTATTGATATCCCAGCATAACAGAAATTAAAGCGAATATGGCTCTTACAAGACTGGCAAGGTAAATATTTCCTACTTCACCTCATATACCTAAGCATTTTGTTGTTGTACATGCCGCGCCATGGACTGCAGTTGAAATGCTTAAATATGGAATAAATTATGAACATCAATACAAAATAAAATAAAATAATAATTTCCCATATAAATACGTATAAATGTTAAATGAAAAAATACAAAAAAAATAAAAAACAGTTTAGACATCACTGCAGTGCAGGCGCATATAACATACTTGCAACAATGCGCATTATTCTGTTGTTGTTGTGTTGTTTTTGCAATTTTGAAATCAGCAAACAAAGGCTTAACCGTACTTATTTTTTTCCTTAATGCTGCTACACGTTTTACCCTTTGTTGGCTGCCATTCGAATGTGTTCTCAAGTGCAAGGAGGACTGACTGCTCAAGCAGTCACTCTTCTGTTATTTAACATAATTTTATAAAAATTATATAAGTTAAGGATTTTGTTGGGATTGCTTCTTATTAAATTGAATAAATAAATTGAATAAAAAATAATTAATAAAGTAAATAAATAAAATAAAAAAATAAATAATATATAAAAATCATAAAAGTTTAATAATATGCAATTATTAAATGTATATAATTTTTTGAAATGAAATAAAATATATATTTTCTTAAATATTTCTTAATTGGTGTCTTTTAAATATGACACTAGTTTTTTGTTCATATCAAATGGTAAATACCAGATAAAGTAGCTTCGTCTACATATGAGATATTATTTTGTTTATATAATATAAAAAAAAACCTGCCCTGTTGCGATTAATTTAAGAAAAAAATAAATTGAATTATATAAAAGTGATATGCTAATTAAACAAGATACATAAAATAAAATTAAATTGGTTAAAAATAGCATGAATTTTATATTGAAAAAAGTAAATTACAATGTTGAAAATAATTTACAACCGTAAAAAACCCCTCAAAAAAACAAAACAATTCAAAAACATAACAATTCAATATATATAATTAAATTAATTATTATTTAATTATTTAATTTAATTATTTCAATTATGTTAATCTTTTAGGAGATATTTAACATTAACAACTCCTTTAAAAGTTTTTTTTAGAAAATGTTAAATGTAGTTTAACAGTCACTGATCATTTGTACGATAAAAATGTTAATGTCCTGTTAAAATTTTACAGCACAGTTCTGCATACAGAAAAACCATAGTTGCAATAATTAGACCTCGTGTAGATTAACACCACACTCATTAACTGAACGCGGTTTGCATATATAAACAAACATGTTGTCTATATAGACGAACACAAAAGTTGGCCAGATTGAACATTGTAAAGCCATGTAGTTTGTGGAGCTATGAATGCCATTGCGGTAGCTCTTTGCGGTTATCATTTACCCATGGTATTATGTTGCAAATGTTTGACTTTTGAGCGGTGCATTAAACAGTTTAACATATATTTTTTTATTTAACATATGTATATATATATATATATATATATAAATATTGATATCTAGCTTTAATAACGCACAGAAGAAACTTGTTTTATATGGAATTTCTATCACCAGAACAGATTAAGAGTTTCTGTTCTAGATTTAGTTCTGGATTTTGTTTACAAAGCTTTAAAGGGGTTTGTGTAATCAATAGTGAAATTGGTACAATAGCCTTCTTCTGGTCGCAGTACCGGCTGTTGCGCGATTTTACATCAAAACTCACATCAAAAATTAAAACTTCAAATAAATTAAATAAAATGATAATTAATATTTTTGTTGTGAATAGTGTAGCTATTTATTATTTACATATTTTTACACTTCCCAATGTAAGTGATCTACTATTTGTTTTTAGAGTAGATAAGATATGATATATAAATATCAAAAGTGTGAACAATAAATACCTTCCTTTTTAAAGAAAAACATAGCACCTCAAAGTCAATTACTTATTAAAAAATATTTACACTATTAATAAAATATTTTTTTAAAGATAAAATGTATCCATAGGGTAACAATAAAACAACCACTTTTGTGCAAAATCCAACTTTACAGTCGACTCTCTCCTTCAAAAAGTCTCTTTCAAGAGACTCTTTCAAGAGACTTTTTGAGACTTTTCAAGAGACGAAAGTCTCCTTCAAAAATAATACAATCACTTTAGCAGTTGGCTAATGTTTCGATACCTGTCTTATAGAATGATTCATTTTTACCTCTTTAACATCCCTCAATATCGACTGAAACATTTTTTTAAGATCAAGTAGTAATCACAAGGGGGCCAAATCTAGAGAATACGTTTGCATCGGACTCGATTCGAAAAGTAATTCGTGCAATCTGGTCATGATAGACATTAACGACTTTTGACATGGCGCTGGTTGCTCTGATTCGACATGTGTAAGTTCACAGATTGATTAGCCCACCAATTGCGCAAAATTTTTAATAGACATTGGTTTATAATAGCGAATTTTAGATTGTCTAGAACTGTCTTTGTGTTACCTTGAAATATACTAAGTTTTATGAAAATTAATACATAAATGGCAGCAGTTTAATTTCTTAAATATGTATTAATATTATTAATATATATTGTGTCAAAAAACACCTCTAGCCTTACTGATTCTGGTTACTACCGCCTAACTTTGCGCTGCTTTTATTATATGTTACTTACAAAGTATTTTATTGATTGCATATATTCTAAGTCCTCGGTTTTTAAGCGAAAGAAAGGAGTAGATGCAACCTCATATCCGCTTTTCATAATTCTTACTTTTTTCCTACTTGAGTCTAGACCGGTCTGTAAAGAATTTACCTACAATAAATATAAGCTATTCTGGAATTTAAGTTTATGGTGAATTAAAATGAATTATATATGCACATATTTATCGATATAAATATATGTTTATGTTTATATATATTTATATAATTTATATATTTATAATTGTATAAAAAAATTAAATATTAATTTATTATGTTATGTTATATGTAATTCACACGTTTTAATATATTCAGATTACTGAATAAACTGAATTTCTTTCAGTTTTTGTTTATATCCGTAACCCAGTAACTTTTATTTAAAATATATATTATATAAAAACTAAACTCATATACACAAACAAATAGATAATCTAACGATTGGAAAAAATTATATATCTGAAACGTTAAATATTTGTAATTTACATGAAACCAATACCTTTTATTTCGCTTTTCTAAAAATATCTCTAAGGAATACACTATCTGTGTTACTTTGAATATATAATTGATGAATTTAATTACGAAATTGTTTTATGGAAAATTAATTTTTTTATTTTTGTCATTTTAAAATAATATGCATACACTTATTTTACACTTAATGCACAATACTTTGTTTGCTAATAACCTTTTTATTCAATTAACTAAATTATTTGTAAATTGCGCCCCGCAATCTATTAACTAAACTGGCCTGGCCTGGCCTGGCCCACTAATGAAAACAATTTTTTTAAGTATTACTACTGTTTGTTTATTTATATCCCTACCGGTTACAGTAATAACCCGCAATAATAATTAATTGCCAATCAACTCTTCTTGTTTTTTTTTTTTTGTTGTGTTTTTGTGGGAAAAGAAAACAAACAACTATTACGTCTTAACTCTTACACTTACCCCCTTCAATTGAACGAGTTTTATTTGAGGAACTATTAACTATTTTTGCTCTCTTATGAAATTGTGACTAAACATGAATTTGTATTAATGGGCACCCTACAGCTAAATATGTTTTGGCACTTTAACTTTGTCACATGCTATGTACCAAATTATTGTGTGCTATATATAATGAAAATTAAATATTGTGTGCTTACGCTTTAGATTGAGTAGAAAAATACTACTGTACAGAGCCAGCATGGAAGTGGTTAAACTCATGATAATCCTAACAGTCCACTAGGCAGTTAGCACCCATTCCTCTTCCCTTTTAACCAAAAATGTAGGAGCTGCAAGGAGAAAGACAAAAAGGAAACAACTGAATTCTTTCTGTATAAATACTCAGACCTTGTAAGTCTAACTATTTCTACTATGTTCACTATAGAAGAAATATGAATGAGAAAATTAAAGAGTGTTAGACAACAGGTCTAACTCTCCCCCTCGAGTACAGATAGACATGCATTACAAGAGATTCAACAGCAATCCAGTTGTTGTTAAAAATATTTTTAAATTCCACTGAATCTTTTGGGACCTATAAAAGTGTTATTTGCACCTATTTCCAACCTCTAGGAAAGCGTGAGAAATATCTGTAGATACTTCTAGAAAATATATAATGCAAGAATAAAAAAATATTTTGCTTGTGCGCTGTCTGCTCTGAAAAGCATAATGTCAATGAATTATGAAAATCTGAATTGCTTAAAATTTTCCGACTTAGTTAAAAACCTATTCAAGTCTATTTTGAAAAACGTTTACCACTACACTATATGCCGATATAGCTTAGTTTTGAGATATCGAATTTTGTGGTTGGTTGGTTTGTCGGTTAAAGTGTTGTTAAATGCTTTCTCTTCTGTCCAAAGTAATATGTATGTTAAGTGTCATTTTGTTACTACAAATCCGATCATAAGAAACTTAGTTTTAAAAATTTTTAATAAGATTATTTTTTTCAAGTATTTTGCTTGGGATATCCACCATGCTTATTAGTTAATAGATTTCCATAGTATCAATCTTGCAATTATGTTTTATTGTTGTTCACTTTTTACATTAATTATATTAATTAAAATTAATACAAAGATTTGGTCATTGAGCCCGCTTATTAGCATAATTTGTCAAACAATCAGCTCATTATAAATAAATCAATTGATTTAAGGCGAAAAATATCGAATGCAAGCCTGAGCCTGAACTCATTTAGTTAGTGTGAATAGGTTGTTTCTTTAGTTCAAATTTAACAAGTGCAAGCTATTCAATTATTTTAAACTATTAAAATTTTTTGTCAATTGATTTTTAATTGCTATAGCGTTTGTTGAAAATACTCTAAAATTTATGATACTCACGTATAAACAAATAATAAATTAATATTAACATTTAATTATCTGTTAATGTGAACTAA